ACAAAAACGCTCAGCTTCAAGCCCATCGTTTCCTGGCTGAAAGACCTCGGGCCAGTCCCTTCTGCTCTCTAAGCCTCAGTGTTAATTAACATCTACCTCACTTAACCTGAAGCAAGACTGTGATGGAAGCATAGGTGCTTTGGATTTATATTTGTTGAATGCTTGCTATGTGCCAGCCATGGAACCTTAGCTTGTTTTAAATGAATTATGTCTTTTAATTCAGTGAGTCTGGATAGAGAGGGAAACTGAGGCCTGGCGAGGTGAGGTAGCGCTGCAGGGTCAGAGCTAGGGAGTGGGCGAGTTGGGCTGAAACCCCTCTCTGCCAGCATTCTTAGCCAGTATGTTCTTCAATAAGGGGTTACCATGTCCTGTCTTTGTCCCTTTCTCTCACATGTACCTTGAATTCTCATTGTCACCTACCACTTATAATCTGACAAGCGAGGCTTAGGCTGTCAGGACCCAAATAACCGTGGTGAAGCAGTGCCTGGACATTGTCGGAGGCTTTATAGAGGGAAGGAGGTGGGCTGAAGATGCCAGCCCTGGAAGGGTTGACAATGGCAGGAGCGCGGGGCTCCTCGGCACAGTCCGGGAAGTTGCAGTTCCCATGTGTGACCGCGGGGTGGCGCCGTACACCGGCGCCAGCGCTCGCAGAGTCCCCAGGACAGAATCCTCCGCGCCGCGCTGAGGCTGGCGTGGACGGCACCCTGGGGTGAGTATTCAGTTTTGTTGTTCAGTACTGCAGCCCAGTGTGAGGCCTGTGTTCCTTTCCATGCAACAGGCATTTGCGGAGGCTCCAGGCGCAGCCAGGCCCTCGGCTCAGGAAATCCAGGGGGCTACATGACCAGGTCTGTTTCTGTCTCTAGGAGCGCACATTCGCTGGGGCAACGGTGGCCAACGCCCCCCGACATACGACCTTCTAGATGAATAAGAAGAAAGCAGGACATTTTACCATAGCCTTAAAAAAAAAATGCTCGCATTTTCTGTACCAAGGGTAAATGAGACCGTTGAGCTTTCCCTGACCCTCACCCCATCCCTGGAGCCACTCGGAGTGACCCAGCCTCAACAGAATGTGGCGTCTGAAATCCCAGACCTTCCTTGAAGGCTCTAAAAACTAGCAAGGAGCCCTGCTGTATACATCCCACCATTCAAAACCAATTTCCCCCATCTCCCCTGGGGCAGACCCCTGGCTCATTTAACTTGGCAAGCTCTACTTCTTCAAAATGCTACTCATCCCACCCTTTTACAGTGTTCGTTTCCTGAATCCTGCGGGTTGAATCCTCCCAGTGTTGTGTACGCTCGCGCTCCCGGAATTGTGCATTTACCATGTATGTCAGTTTCTCCACCTGCCCGGCTAGAACAAAATGTCCCTGAGGACAGGGTCCCTGGGCTTGTATCCCCAGCACCTGGCACTGGGCCAGGCTAGTAGAGCCTGCTTATTAGGCACTTGTCCAATTTAAAAAAATTGATATATACTATTTTTGCATAATTATGGCATATGCTATTTTGCTACATGCATAGAATGTGTAATGCTCAAGTCGCGGTATTTGGGATATCCATCACCTCGAGTATTTATCATTTGGATGTGTTGAGAACATTTCAAGTCCTTACTTCTAGCTCTTTGGAAATAGATATGGAATACATTGTTGTTTACTGCAGTTACCCTACATTACTTGGAGAATGGACACATGATTTTTAAGTTATTACCTAATTCAGTTCTAACAAAAACCCTGTGTACTTGGTATTATCTACATCGTTATTACTTTTTTTTTTAATCCCAGAAGATTATCTGTATTACTTTATAGATGAGGCAATGCTAGTTGCTGCAGAAGAGAAACCCTGCCATCTCAATGGCTTAACGCACTCAGAGGTTCTATCTCACGTCGCAGCCTGTGTGAGTCGGGCAGCCTTCCATCTTCATGCGACTCCATCTAGAATGCATGTCTCCAAGGCTGCTGCTTTAGTCTGCTTGAGCTGCTGTAATAAAGTACTATGGACTGGTTGACTTAGACAACAGACATTTATTTCTCACAGTTCTGGAGGCTGGGACATCCAAGATCAAGGTGCCAGTATATGTAATTCCTGGTGAGGGCCGTCTTCCTGGGTTGCATGTGTCTTCACATGGCTGAATGAGAGAACACTCTTTTTTTTTTTTTTTTGAGGTGGAATCTCCTCTGTTGTCCAGGGCTGGACTGTACTAGCGGTGTGTTCTCGGCTCACTGCAACCTCTGCCTCCCAGATTCAAGCTATTCTCCTGCTTCAGCCTCCTGAGTAGCTTGGATTACAGGCACATGCCACCATGCCCAGCTAATTTTTGTATTTTTAGTAGAAGTGGGGTTTCACCATTGTTGGTCAGGCTGGTCTCGAACTTCTGACCTCATGATTCACCAGCCTCGGCCTCCCAAAGTGCTGGGATAACAGGTGTGAGTCACCATGCCCGGCCTCTAGTCTGTCTTTCTTGTCTTACAAGTGCACTAATTCCATCATGGGCTCTACCCACTAATCTCATCATGGGGCCCTACCCTCATGACCTCACCTACACCAAATTACCTGCCAAAGGCCCCACCTCCAAATACCATCGCATCGCAGGTTAGGGCTCCAGTGTGTGAATTTTAGGGGAGGCAAACATTTAGTTTATGACAGCTGCCACTACAAGGGCATGTGGGCACTAAGTTGCCCTGGCCAGAGTCACTTCTGTTCACAATCCACTGGCCAAAACTAGCCATATTGCCCCAGCATAAAGACAAGGCGGGCTGAGAAGCATAAGAAGCACAGAGCGCCGTCCAACTCTGCCATGAGGCTAGACACACCTGTGCATCCTTGCCCACATCCACAAATGCACACATATCTGTTGAGAAATGCTGAGTGTATAAAGTATATTGTTTACTAAGAAGAACGATGGCAAGGAAAACCCAGTAGCCCCCACCCCGCCCCAAGTGGAAAACTACTTGGGGCATTCTAAAGTAGCAAGACATACACTGGTTAAAACAATTCTTTAAGTGTGGGCTATGTGACCCTGCCCCCGTGGCTCCCTCGTGGAGAATAATTTCTAGTTTGTCCTTGATCAGTGGTAAGCAGGCACCAGCTGCCTACCTAGTTTATCTTGGTTCTATGAGAAAAACAGAATACCTGTTTGTTAATAATAATCACCTGTTCAGAGAGACTAAGTGGGTCAGTGTCTGCTAGAGTCCTTCAGCCCGGACCACTGTCAGCCCTCTGAGGCTCTCGGCTAGGAAGACTGTCGGTTCCCCCAGATAATCCCACTTTGCTGTTCTATCCAGGTGTCTGCTTCTTAACTCCTTCAGCACTGCCTGGGTGGGGGTCTCTATGGCTGAGCTGGTCTCAGTACATATCCACATACATGTGCATACACAAGTGTACATACCTATCAATCATGCCCCAACACAAGTAATATCACAATGACCTACAAAGACACACACAGCCTGTAGAACATATGTCCAACAAAAACACATGCAAAATAATCCCCGGGTGAGAAAGGCTGCATTTCTTAAAAGAGTTTTTTTCACCATTATTGGCAAAGTTGTATGTTTAGGACTGAAAAAAATTATGTTTTGGGAGAAAACTTAACAGCAGGCAAAAGCGATGGCAACAAAGAAGAGATGATAATGTTCTCTCTGTTTTTTGAGGATAATAGAGTTTGGGAGACAAGCAGTTCTTGGGTGGTTCACACAGAGAGCAGCGAGACATAATCTTTGCAAGATTTAGCTTGAGAGCCAGAGACAATTGTTTTATTTCTTGTAACTATTTTGCGTATATATAGAAACGAGAGGTAGGCAGCGGGGATGATACACCCACTGCCTCACCGCTGCTTTGTGGCGCCGCAGCTGTGTGGGTGTTGATGCCGCCACAGAGGTTAAATGCGACTTCGGGGAGGTTACTTGATGACATTTTGACATTGTGGAGGCTCGAGGTGACACATTTGTGTGGGAATTAAAATATTTGGACCACTCGTAACAATAAACATGACTTAACAAAAAGAAAGGGGAAAACAGCAAAGCTTGGCAACCCCTGGTGTTGATTGATCTCGTTCTTTCTCTCCAGGGATACCAGAGTGAGTGTCCGGAACAAAGGCGTTCTTTTGCTGGGGCCCTCTGGTCCTCCTCAGGGAGAATGAGGTTCCCTGGGAGTTTTTGATTTCACTTCAACAGTTCAACCGAATTTGATCAACATTCATGGAGTGACTCCTGTGGGCCTGGCACCTCTCCAGATGCTCAGCTCCCAGTGTTCTTATAGTTTCTGCCTGCAGGGAGCTTGCAGTTTGGCAAGAGAGAGAGCACATGTGCCTTAATATCTGTAAGCCAGAGGAAAGTGGGAAATGCTGCAGAGATGGGCAGGGAGAGGTGGAGCTAATGGGGAGTGATTCAGAAGTCTCCAAAGGAGGTTTTGGAAATGAGTGGGATCTCCTCCTGGGGACCTGAGAAGAACATACACGAAGGCATCCGGGAGCTGTCCAAGGAGTGCTGCAGGGTGCAGCTGACTCCAGAAGTCAATGAAAAAGAGCCACACCTTGGCGCCTCTTCCTGCCATGACATTCGCCGTCCCCTAGGCCATCAGAAGCCCCCATGTCAGCTATTTGGGAAGCTGCATCTTGCACTGGGGCCATGGCAGGCTGGAGCAAGGAAGGATCAGAGGCTGAGATAAGAATTTAAAGAGGGGAGGTGGAAACTGGGGTTTGTCCCCCTGTGGTCTGCCCTTGGAATTCAGGCAGCAGCAGCAGGGCCAGCTGCTTGAATGAGAAGGAAACATTGTAACTGTCATCAGCCAGCCTTGTCCTTCAGAGTGTCTACCTTGTGTGAGGAACTGTACTAAGGGCTCTCTCCCAAGGGAACCGGGAATCAGGGAGCCCAGCTTACCCCTCCAGCAAGTTTCTTGATTTTTTTAAAGCTCAGTTTCTTTATCTGCAAAGTGGAGCAAGTAATAGCAACTATTTGTTTTTATTTTTATTTTTTATTTTTATTTATTTATTTATTTTTTCAAGTACAATTTCCATTTCATTTTTCTCCAGGGAATAGTTGTCTTCAATCTTTTACTCAGCTCCTTACATGGGTTTTGGTGGGGGTCGTGGGGCAGCACCCGCAGGTCTAAATCGGGGTGGCGGTGTTCGGTCCTTGCGGGCTTCACGAGATCGATTTGAGCTTCCAAAATGACAAAGAAAAGAAGGAACAACGGTCGTGCCAAAAAGGGCCGCGGCCATGTTCAGCCTATTCGCTGCACGAACTGTGCCCGATGCGTGCCCAAGGACAAGGCCATTAAGAAATTCGTCATTCGAAACATAGTGGAGGCCGCAGCAGTCAGGGATATTTCTGAAGCGAGCGTCTTTGATGCCTATGTACTTCCCAAGCTCTATGTGAAGCAACTATTTGTTAAGCACTTACCATACGTTAGGCAGTTGGTTTCTGAGCCGGTGCCATTAGCCACAAAGCTCTGTTGCCTAGCGCTGCCCCGTGAGCCTGGGATGGGGGAAAGCAGTTAGCATAGCCAGCACATGGAAACTCCTCCGGCAAGTTATGGACTGTTGTGGACTCTATGCCGCCAAGAATTCATAGGAAGCCCAGCTCCCAATGTGATGGCATATTGTATTTGGAGGTAGGGCCTTTTGGAGGGCAGTAGGGTTAGATGACATTGTCAGGGTGGGGCCCTCAGGATGGGATTAGCGCCCTTAAAAGATGCCAGAGAGCTTACTGTCTCCCCCACCCCCATGTAAGCACAAAGAAGAGGTCATGTGAACACACAGCCAGATGGTGGCCTCCTGTAAGCCAAGAGAAGAAGCCTCAGAATGAAACCCACCTTGCTGACACCTTGATCTCGATCTTGGACTTGCCAGCCTCCAGAACTGTGAGAAATACATTTCTTTTGTTTAAGCCACCTAGCCTGTGATATTTAGTTAAGACATCCCAGGCAGACTGGCAGTTACCTAACTTAATCCTTAAATTACTCCCAAATTAGCGTCATATTCTGGATGAGAAACTGAGGCAAAGGGAGTTTAAGTCACATGATATAGGTGACACAGTTTTGCAAGTCCCAATTCTTTTTTTTTTCCTTTTTTTGGGGGGGGGAATAGAGTCTTGCTCTGTCACCCAGGCTGGAGTGCAGTGGCATGATTTTGGCTCACTGCCACCTTCACCTCCCAGGTTCAGGCAATTCTCCTGCCTCAGCCTCCCAAGTAGCTGAGACTACAGGCACCTGCCGCCATGCCTGGCTAATTTTGTATTTTTAGTAGGGATGGAATTTCACCATGTTGGCCAGGCTGGTCTTGAACTCCTGACCTCAGGTGACCTGCCTGTCTAAGCCTCCCAAAGTGTTGAGATTACAGGCATGAGCCACCATGTCTGGCCTGCAAGTCTCAATTCTAACCCAGGCTTTGAACCACCCCTCCTGGGGGAAGATGAGAAGCTTGGCTGCTTGAATTCAAGTCTCGAGTTCTGACATTTCACTCTATTGCCCTTGGCAATTTCCCTTTCATCAGGGCAACTCAATATTTTCATCTGCGAAATATGCGTAATTTGGGGAGTTAATGTGTAACAACAACACTGAGTGCCAGCAGATGCAGGCTGTCTGTTGGGGTATTGCCTCAGACAAAGAGAGTAGATAAGAAAGACCTGGAATGAGGGATAGGGCTTTGCAGGATGGCTGCTGTTCACTAATCATTAAATTATTAATAACTATAATGACGATTACAGAAAACAGCATGGTGCTTCTTCAAAAAAGTACAAATAGAATTATCATCTGATCCAGCGATTCCATTTCTGGGTATACACCCAAAACAATTGAAAGCAGAGTCTCAAAGAGGTATTTGTACACCCACGTTCATAGCATTATTTTCAATAGCCAATAGGTGGAAATAACCCACATGTCTATCTGATGAATCGATGGAGAAGCAAAACATGGCATATACATGTAATAGAATATTACTTGGCTTTAAAAAGGAAGGACATTCTGACACATGCTGCCACATGCACGAACCTGGAGGATGTAAGGCAAGATGAAATAAGCCAGTCAAAAAGACAAACACTGTAATAACTCTTAGAATTCTCATGGTTAAAGGAACCGCCTTGAACATCTAGCCAGAGAGACTGGACCTGAGCCTTTGGGAGGATTCCCGTGAGTGAGGGCTGCTTGCCTAGACGGGGTTGGGCGAGCATACTGCCAGGGCTTCTCCCCCTGATTACTTCTGCGACAGGATAGGAAGCTGCCAGCCTGTAGTCCTGGGCTTCATGTTGGTAAATTGTGGTGTTGGCTCCACAGCTCTGGCCTTGTCTCCTTGCCATGGCCAGAGAGCTGTGTCGAGCATGACAGTCTGTGGGAGGTGCTGTTTGGGTGCTGAGGGCAGAAGATCAGGCTGTGAAACTCCTCCCTGTGACAGAGAATAAGATGTTCAGCCTCTTCCTGTCTCTGACTGTACAAGGGCTGGGAAGCCTCATTCACGTTGTATGCAGTGGCACCTCCTCTGTGATGCCCTCCCAGTCTTCCCCAGCACAGACTTTATGCGCTTCTTCCTCTGTGCTCCTGGTGGACCTTAGAAAATACCTCCATGAGGATGTAGGCCATATAGAATACATTTGGGGTGGGAAATCTGGGTTACTACTTGGTCCCTAGCATATTGTTGGTGCAATTAATGTTTGTTCAATAGGTGAATTCAACAGGAGCCCCGAGTGTAGAGGGAAGAAGACCCGCATTTGGCTTTTCCCCTCACTTCCCAGCCTCCACCTCGCTTTCCCTGCTATGCCATTTTACTCTCCTTTTTGATTTCCTCTGCTGCCTGGGGTGGGGGTGGGGGCCGGGTAGGGGTGGGAGGCTGGAGTGGGATGGGGGAAGAGAGGCAAAACCTAGTTGGAAAGGATGGTGTCATGGAGTCAGTCCGGATAAGATGGGAATTGGATTGATGAGATTTAGTAGCTATGTCTCCCCAAGGCCCTTGTACCCCAACTGTGGCAGTGACTTAATGTCACAAAAGACAGTGTGTGGTAATGGGCCGCCAAACACACACTTTCCCAGTGTTCCTCACTTCTGGGATTCATACCCCATGCAGCCCCTTTCCACATTGAATCTGGGCTGGCCTGTGTGATGGATAGGATATGATGGAAGTGAAAGTGATGACCTCCAAGGCTAAGGCAAAAAGGCATTGTCACTTCTGACATGGCCCTTGAATCAGCTGCTCTGGAGGAAACCAGCTGCCTTCCCATGAGGACACTCAAGCAGTGCTGTGGAGGGACCCCCCCGGATGCATATGGGTCAACAGCCAGCACCAATCTGCTACCATGTGAGTGAGCCACCTTGGGAGGGTGGGAGCCTCCAGCCCCGGTCCAGCCTTCAGATGATTGTAACCTTAACTGACATCCAACTACAACTTCATGAGTGACTTTGAGCCAGAACTGCCCAGCCCAGCTGTCCCTGAATTCCTGACCTACAGAAACCAGGAGAGATAATCAGTGGTTATTGTTGAAGTCCCTGAGTATTGTTGTGACTTGTTATGCAACATTAGCTAAGACAGACAGCAACTCTAATAGTAGAATTTCAGATATCAAGACCCTTCCCAGAATTGAGCTGCCCACTCCAGAGTAAGGCGGGGCGGTGTGGTCTCAGAGTGGGTGACAGTCATCTTGCTGCTGTATGTGCTCGGTGTGGGTGCCCCCCTGCCTGGCCCCTGCTTTGGCAGACTTGGTGTCTCTCCCCACTCCCTGTGCCTGGATTCCTCAGGCCCTGCCCCAGCACTTGGCGTTGTCAGCACTGTTGGCTCTGCTTGCTGTCAGCACTTGTTCTGGCCCCCAGGCCAGGCTGGTTTGGGTGAGGACTGCAATGCAACAGATGAGTTTCCTCCCAAATCCCTTCAGATTCTCAGTCATGGTTTCCATGATTGTTTTGGGGGTGGGGGCGGGAGTGGAGAAAGAGCTGGGTTAGGTGTAATTTCCTGCTTAGAATCTGGAGGGAAGAAGAGCTGAAAAAACTTTTTAAATCTTTTATGACCAGTGAACTTATTTTGCTCCTAAGTTATTCTAAGCAAAAAGATCTACTCAACCATAGAGCAAAAGCCTTGAGAACAGGCACTCTCTTTTCCCTTTCTCTCATTCATTCACTCATTTGTCCATCTGTTCATTCATTCATTCAACAATGTGCCTGCAAGTACCAGCTATCAGACATGATGGTAAGCACTGGAGAGACAGCAACGGCTAATAATTCCTGCCCTCAAGGAACTTACAATAGACAAAAAATAAGTCAAATATACTGAAGTTGAATATTTGCTGGCAAAGGGTACTGTGAAAAAAAGAAGAGAAGGTGGAGAGCAAGAGTCAGGGAGCGGCTGCCGTGTTAGTGAGTGAGTCGGGAAGGCCTCTGAGCAGGTGACATGAGGAAGGCCTGGCCGAGGTGAGGCCTGAGAGTCCTGTGATTTCTGGGGGAAGAATGTCTCAGGCAGAGGTGTGGTTTGAGCAGAAGCCCTGCGGTGGGAGCATCCAGGAGTTCTCCAGCGCTGGCGAAAGGCCTGTGTGGCTGGAGCACTGGGAGCGAGTACCAGAGCAGCAGGGACTGGGGTCACAGGGCAGGGTGGGGGGAAGATGTGGTACTCGGGCATTTACTCGCAGTGAGCTGGGACCATGGTGGAGTCTTGGCTGCAGTGTTTTGTGGCAGAGCACATTCTGCCTGTGTCTCCTTTACCCTAATGTCTCCTGTTAGATGCAGACAGGGGCCTAAAGTTCCAGTCCCCGTCTGCTCACATGAGGCCTTTCCCCCTTCCCCTGCCCATGGAGTCTTGGGTATATTTATACAGGAGGCCCTTGGCAAGGTTTGGAGGTGGCAGGTTTGCAAGTGTGTGGGCATTCAGATGTGCAGGTGTGCCAGGCTGGGCCTCTCTCATCCCTGACATCCATTCTCTGAGAGTCATGTGGAGCAGCCTCACCAGGGCCTCGCTGCTGGAGTCCCTCGTGTGAACACCCATGTGGGTGCTCCTAAATCCCCTTCTCCCAGGGAGCTGGCAAAGTGCAGATTCTGTGCAGGGCAGCAAAGATATCATCTCCCCCCACCTCTGGAACACCTGTGTCACCTCTTTGCCCATGCACACTGCTGTGGGACCCAGCTAACCCCGTCTTTCCATGAAGAGGCGCCCCCGGAGGTGGCTCTCACCCATCTGAGAGCCCACGCAGGCACAGAAGCTGGGATGTCTCCTCATTCTCGCTATTCTTCTGCCTAGCATGAACTCTACCCTTCTTGTTTGATACAGAAAGGTTTGGATTCTGGTGGGTGCAGAAGGTGATGAGAGCTGTCAATACTAGTAGGGTCTGTGGGCCTGGGCCAGCTGGCCTAATGCCCTAGACACTTACATGTGGACACTGGTGTCACCGCTTTCTGAGACCCCTTCACACCCATCTCCTCTGGTCACTTCTCATGTCATCACCTTTGGTCTGGTATCTCCTTGAGGGTGGCTGCCAGGCTCTCTTCTCCCCTGCAGGCCCCTCCTGCTTCTCCAGTGCTGACCAGAGTTTTGGCACTTGGTGGCACTTCAGTTTAATGTTTACTACCTGAGTCACATAGTAGGTGCTTGGCCACTTGTGGAGACAGCCTGAGACAAAGGTTGCCTGACAATCTTAGACACCTGCAAGGGGTGTCTTGGTGTGTCTGCAGTGTGCACATTACACAATTGGGTGCATGCCAACACTGACAGAGCCCCCATGTACTGTTGCTGAGGAGTTTTCAAGCACGGCTGTTGTCCTCACTACTCTGACGTGGTCTCCCTGCCATTGTTTTCATCTTTATTCTTCAGACCTCAGCTGAGATAAAGCTTGAAGCTCTTCACCCGTGTCTGAGCCAGACTATGACTCATGAATCCCCACGCTTGAGAACAAACAGGCTGTCCCCTCTTCCCCGCCTCTGCCCTCTGTGGCCCAGTGCTCTCTCTACAGCGATGATGAACCCTTATTGCAGTGATGGGGCAGGGTTTGGTCCTGGGATGGTGACATTATGAAAAACAGATTTAGCAATACCCCAAGTAGCTAGTCTGCCTGCTCAGTAATGGTTTATCATAGTCATAAAGCTAAACGGGACCATCAGGGGTCAGCTGATCTCTGCTATTAGACACGACCACACCTACGTCATTCCAGTGAGATGAAATTATCTTTTATTCATTGTTATTTTTTAAAGACCTCCAGAGAGAGCTTAGAGCTCCCCCTCCTTCAGAAACCTGCTCTGATGTTACAGTGTTGTTGGGTCCCTGTCATTGATCTGTGTGTGCGCACGCGTGCATGCATATGGTGTGCGCACTCTGAATTTCTGCAATGATTTCTGCCCCCACTGCTTGCCTTCTACTTGCCCTTCTTCAGGCACAGGGTCTGAGACAATCACAGCAGCACAGGTTGGGAGCTCTTGGTGTGGGAAAAGGCTGCACCCTTCGGCGCCTAGATTCCAATCTACCTCCTTCACCGACTTGCTCTGTGACCCAAGGCAAAGCTGATTAGCCCCCCTGAGCCTCAGTTCCCTCAAGTGTGAAAATCATAATAACTAGGACTTTGCAGTGTCACCAGGATTGGAGGTAATATATGCAAAGTGCCTCGTCCATAGTAGGTGCCCCATAAATGCCTGCTATTATTGGGGATAGAAAGACAGTGGCTGTGGGAGGCAGTGGGAACATTCTGACTTGGGCCTCTCCTGAGAACAGAATGTGTGGTCTGTGTGGGCATCCGTCAGTCAGGGGTGAGTCCTCCTGGGAGCCTCCACTGCTCACTGCGAGGGGATCCTGAGACTGCCTGAGCTGAGGGGGGTGCTGGCCCCAGGTCCATTCACACCTCTACACTTCCAGCTAACTGGCTGGAGCATCCTGTCCTCTGGCTATGGAGGGCATGGTGCAGGTCCGTGGGTGTGATGCTCATTGCCTGACTTCATGAAAAGCAACCTGTCCCTAGGCTGTTGGTTTCCATGGCAGCGCAGGGAAGAGCAGCCAAGCAACCAGGCATCTAGGCTTAAAAAGAAAAGTAGCATGATTTGGGAATCTAGTGACTGTCATAGTCAGGCATACGCAGAATTCAGAGATTTGTTTATGTAACAAATATTTATTGGGTCTCTCCCATGTACCAGGCACCCAGGATACATTAGTAAGTATAACAGATCAAGATCCCTGTTCTTGAGGGGCTCACTTTGTGGCGGGTGGGGATGGGGAGGTAGACAATGAACATAATAAAAAATTATTCAGGCTGGGCGCCGTGGCTCATGCCTGTAATCCCAGCACTTTGGAAGGCCGAGGTGGGCAGTTCACCTGAGGTTGGGAGTTTGAGACCAGCCTGACCAAAATGGAGAAACCCCATTTCTACTAAAAATACAAAATTAGCTGGCATGGTGGTGCACCTGTGGTCCCAGGTACTCGGGAGGCTGAGGCAGGAGAATAGCTTGAACCCAGGAGGCAGAGGTTGCAGTGAGCCCAGTTCGTGCTATTGCACTCCAGCAGACTGGGCAACTAGAGTGAAACTCCATCTCAAAATAAATAAAATAAAATAAAATATCATTCAGTATTCTAGAAGGTGATCTCTTCTACGTTGAGAAAGCAGGACAACAGGACTAAGGGTACTGGGTGGAGGAGGGGTGGGTTGCAATATTATAAATAAGGAGATCAGGGCTGACCTCCTCAAGAAGGTGGCATTTGAGCAAAAACTTAAAGAAGCCGAGGGACTTACCCTGTGCAAAGGTCCTGAGGCAGGAGTGTGCCTGGTGTGTTCAGGGAACAGGGAGGAAGCAGTGAGGCTGGAGAGAAGGAAGGAGGGAGCAAGGAGGAGGCCTTCTGGGCAGAGAGGCTATGGAGGCTGAATCACGTCTAGTCTTTTGACTGGGGTTTTTCTACGGAATGATCAGGTGGGGGCTGTTAGTGATCATCACTGAGAAGGGGCTGTGGTGGCAGTGGAGCTGGAGAGAAGTCCAGGGCAAATCCTGTCCCGTAGATAGTGGCAATTGGATAGCAGGCACCAGGTGAGCATGGAGATGACTGTAACTCAACGTGGAAGATACTGAGTTCCAAGAACATAAAGGGGATTGGATGGTGGGAAGGAGCACCTCTGGCTGAGAGGGATCATAAAACTGGCCAGGCTTACACCTGTAATCCCAGCACCTTGGGAGGCCAAAATGGGAGGATTGCTTGAGCCCAAGAGTTTGAGACCAGCCTGGGAAACATAATAAAACCCTGTTTCTACAAAAAAAAAAAAAAAAAAAAAAAAAAAACAAAGATTAGCAGGGCACAGTGGCCTTCACCTGTGGTCTCAGCTGCTTGGGAGGCTGAAGTGGGAGGATCACTTGAGCCCAGGAGGTTGAGGCTGCCATGAGCCGCGATTGTACCACTGCATTCCAGCCTGGGTGACAGAGCAAGATCCTGTTTTAAAAAGAAGCATTATAAAACTCTTTATCTATATTAGAGATGGGTTTTGAAGGAGGGCCGGACTCCAGTGGAGTGCAGGTGAGCAGATGATGAGGCCAGGAGCAGGAGGAGGGGAAATGCATGGTGAGGGGACGATCAGGACGTTCTCTCTCCAGGACTCTCTGTCCTCACCAGCATGCATGGGAATCTGAGGCGCAGACAATGGTTCAGACCAGTGTGTGGACTGGGGCGATGTTTGAGGTGGGAGGACCTGATGCAAGGGAGGCTGCTGGGGGCCTGGAAAAAAGGGGAAGCATGGGTTGTATGGGACCTGTCTTATGGTGGTCAGGAAGCATGGGGGTGCCGTGAACACAGGTAGTTTGGTGGTGGCTGGAGAAAAGACCGAGGGTAAAGGTGGGGAGCTTGCCTTTGTTTGCACTGAAGTTAGGATGTCAAAGTCAAGGGGTGAAAAATGCCGGACAAGGTGCGAGGAATGCTTGGCTTTTTATCAATTTGTACTGATGTCCTTGTTTGCTGAGGCGCTTACAGAAATCCATGGGAAGTCTGTAGGATTGGGCTTGGAAAAGGGGAAGGAACCAAGTGAAATCAAATGGCCGGATGCAAGGCTAAGGTCAGGCTTCTGGCAAATACTGGATGGCATCCTGGCACTATTACAGCTAGAGGTTAGGAGCCACCTTTGCTGGCGATGAAAGAATCCATTCAAAACTGCCCCGTGCTCTAGCCCCAGTGCCCTGGAATGGAGCATCATCTGCCAGGGGTTGGGGAGAGGGAAATCTTGCCTTTTAGCTTTCATAGTAACATGAGGCAGGGAGTGGCGGTCTGCTTTCCAGCAAGGTTCGCACAATGGCAGATTCTCCAAACAGGGCAGGGTGTCAGCCTCTGGGAGCAAAAGAGCTGAAAGTCCTTGTATGAGCTTGCTGCATCTGCTGGAATAAAGCACCATCAACCGGAGACTTAACAGAAATTTGTTGTCTCACAGTCTGGAGCCTAGAAGTCCAACATCAAGGTGTTGGTAGGGTTGGTCCTTCTGAGACCCTCGAGGAAGATTCTGTTTCATGCTTCTCTGCTGGCTTCTGGTAGTCGCAGATGTCCCTTAGCTTGTTGACAGTATCTCACTGTGTCTTCGCTGTAACCTCTGTATGTCCCTATGTCCAGGTTTCCCTTTTTTCTATGGACACCAGCCAGAGTGGTCAGGGCGCACTCACTAATGGCCTCATGTTTAACTTGCTCACCTCTGTAAAGACTCTAATTCCAAATAAGGTCACATTCTGAGGTAGTGGGGGTCAGGACTTGAATGTTTATTTTGGATGTGGGGGGACCCAATTCAACCCACAAAGAGGTCCCCGACAGCAGCGTGTCAGTTTGGCTTTTTTGTGGCTTCCTTTCACCTCTCTTCCTGTCAAGAATAGGATGGTTTTCATCCTGATAATTTTAGAGATCTATTTATATAATTGTCAATTTTCATATTATGGAAATCAAATACATCTACTTTGCTGTTTCAATCATTCATAAAAATCAGTTAACAAGCTTTGGTTTGCTCTCAGCTGTTTCTGTTGATAGATGGTAGATCCAACGCTCTGCTGTGC